TTGGGATTGACTGTATAGCCAATACATCCTTAACCAAATGTATCGAGATTTCATTGAAGTTGAAATTCAAATGACAATAGAAAATTTATCATTAACTTTTAAGAAAAGATGTTTTTTTTTTAAATGTAATTAGTCATAATTAAAATATTTTATTGTGTATTTAAATATAATATATGAGTCATAAATAAATTGTTTTTAATGATCTTATAAGCATCCGTAGTAATACTCATTACCTTTCCATATTAATATTAATCATATTAACTTTCAAAATGCGTTTGTACGAATTGCACTCGTTGCAATTGTGCACGTCGATGAAAGTTATCTAAAGCAAATAAGATCATCATAATTTCGCCTGGTATCACTCCCTTCACGCGTAACTAACCGGTATTCACGTTGGGTATCGACGAGGATGTTCACATCGTGTTGTTTGTCTCTCGAACAGTGTACTAATGGAAGCACGTTGAATTTATCGAATCATTTAATCTGGTTTGTCCTAATTAACTCGGGAAGTTGTTTAGCGAGCATGTGCATGCGACAGACGTGTGTCACTCCAACGGTTCCTCGTTAAACATGCGACCGCTTCGAGTTCGGAAAACATCGTATTAGAAGAACTAACTGTTTGAGGTGAATTTATCGTTTCCTAAACCGAGTCATACGAGCGATAAGAGCGTTTCAGTGTTTGACTCACCTTCTGTGTTCGCATGCTCGAACGTAAGGAATTGTGCGGGTGCCAAGAGAAAGGCACACGAGCTCGCCGGCTCTCGTATAAAATTCACAAGCGAAAAATCGACCGATAAATTGTCAACGTCGCTTGGACATGAATTCTACGAACGGACTGATAAAGGAAGTTTCTTGTCTGATACCTTGTTGCCATGCGCGCACACTTGTAGCTTCTCGTAATCAGGCTGAACATTTTTTTATTTTTCTTCAAGTAATGTTAACTCATGCGAATGTACGTAGAAGGTCGATGGACTCGAAGTCGTGACTCTGAGGCGAAGGTCGCTGGGTCTTACGAATGAATACGATACTATTGGATTATTCGGCGTAAGGTGATTTGTTTAGCGTTTCGCAATATTTTGTCAAATCTGCGGAAGCACCGTCGGCGACTTTAATCCATCGGTCTGAGGGTATCGGTTTCCTCGAAAAACCCTCCTCTCCCCTTTCTCTTTCTATCTTTGCACAATCTTATTAATAGCCTATCTGTGTCGGGCAAGTACAAGTGCACCCATGATCATCAGTGAATGGAGTTGGAAACGCGTTGCGTTACTTCCTGCATATCGTTCAAAACGTCGCTGGCTTTCTTCTGCGAATAGTTCTCTATAAATAGTCCTGAGAGAACGATCAATATTTTCGATTTTGGCAAAAGAACATCTGAAACGAAATTATTGATTTCACACTCCTCCGATACATCGTCCGACGCCGATGTGTTTTCTCTACTATAATTTTTTTCAGTTTATCTTCAATTTGCTCGACGTTCTATTCGCGTCTGTTAAATAAACAGCACCCGCTGTTATCATTTAAGTACCGTTCAATTTTCACTGAAAGGTAGTTGTTGTATCGTATCGTGAGCAAAACTTGAGTGGCATTTCCTCGAGTCAATTACATCCAGCGGCCGTTCCGTTAGTTCTCTTCATGAGAAATACTACCTGTCGGCAGATGTGCCAGTATGTCCGAAGCCGATGCGCCAGAAGCAGCGAGCGAGATCGACAGGCAGGCGTCGGTTTACGTGTTTCCTGGATCGGGTCGACAGCACTATCCCACTTCGGCACCGGCACAGCCAGCTACTTTCGCAGTCGATGTCGCCTCCACGACTACCGTTTC